TTCATTCCTGGCACCGGGAGGCTCCTCACAGGCTGCAGGACATTGTGATGCTCCCATGTGTTTTTTCACTGACTTTTATGAAACGTGCCTGTGAGGCCGCTGTCCTGGCTGGATTTGCTCAGGGGAGAGCAAGCTGTACGCAGCGCCCCTGGGCTGCGTGGAGCACCCCGATGCCATGGCGCTATGCTGGTGCTTCTCTGCAGGCTCCAGCGGAGCTGGCCAAGACCCTCTTCCCCCTCCTTCAGCATCCTCAGTGGGAGGCAGGCCTTCTGGCGGGGAAGGATGGGTCTAGTGGTTCCTGGTCTAGATATCGGCTCTGTTCCCTGTTCCACCGAAAGCTTCCTGTGTGACTGGAGCAGTCACTTAGCTGCTCTGACCCTTGGTTCCCCTTCTGGAAATTGGGGATGACAGCACCTGCCTGCCGGGGAGCTCTCCTCGGCTAAATCCATACAAGCTTGCAAGGCACACGGCTAGGACGGGGCGGGGTCATCTAAGGCCTTTGGCTTCCCAGTGCAGGATTACAAGGACCGTGGTGATATGTGGGACAGCCTGCTTCCTTCCGGGTAGAAAATAGCTTGCAGCTTCTTATACCTGCCTGTCGCTGCTGATCTCCGAGTGCGCCTCCCTTCTGGCCCCTTGGCTTGGGGGTGGCACCGGCGCTGCCTCTGCTTAGCTTATGCAAGCTTGAAAAAAAGGGATCGCGAGTCTGGAAGGGGGGGCTCCCAGGTGGAGAGAGGACAGACCTCCTCGCCCTTCCCTGGATGGGGTTGTCCCAGCCCAGAGGAGACTGGGCACCACTGTGGGAGTCTCCCGTTGCAGGGAGGTGTTCTGGCCACGGGGGCTGGTTTCCTGCCAGCCTCCTGCGTCTAGCCGGCTCTTCTTCCTCCTCTGTTCTGGGGTCAGGGCTCCTCGTCTGATCTGTTCCCAGTGTGTCGTAGCGCCTGAACCTGCAAACGGGTTAAGTGACGCTACGGCCTGGCAGGGGAAACCCGCGGGAGAGTCATCTGTTTTCCAGCGCGCTGGCCCTGCTGACCCCAGATGTTCCCTGGAACTTGCAGCCCCACGCTCCATCCCCCACCCTGGTGCTGCCTGGCAGAGCACGGAAAACAATAGGAGGCTTCCTAGTATTGATGTGTCCCAAGCAGCCCAGCAAACCATCTGGCGAAAGGGCTGGGAAGCTCGATTTAGCTCCTTGGCTCACTTGGGAAATGCGCTGGCCCCCAAGGCTGATGGAGGTCGGCAGGGTGCAGGGGCTTGCGGGGTGGGGAGCATCTGGGGGAAGCAGCAGTTGGGGATGTCTAATGCTTTTCAGTGTCTGCCCCCCCCTTGTTTTACACGGCAGACCCTAAAGTCTCCATCTCCTCGGTCCCAGCATCCTGTTCTTCCCGCCCCAGACGGCTTCGTGCTTGCCACAGGACATCGCCAGAATTTCCTCTGATAACTGGCCTGTCCTCCTCCTCCCCTCTGAGCTGATGGGTTGCTCCGCAGGGTGAGCTCCTCTCCCCATCGACACGCGCAAGATGGAGAAGAAGCCGGTGGTGTCTCCCTAGCAGCTGCATGCTGTGTCCCCATCACACGAGATGCTGTTGCACGCCAGCAACACCCAGGGCATCTGCCCACTGGCTTCATCTTCCCCGTGGCTCTGCTGGGCACCTCTGCCCTCGAATCTGGACCCTCCTCTTGCCGAAGTCCACATGAACATGAAGATTGCTACCTCCAGGAGGTAGTAATCTCCACCCTCCCTGGAGTGAGTAGAAGCAAGATGCATACACTGTGGTCATGATTCTCACCTTCACCCTCCATCTCCACTTGCCCTGCAGTATGAACCTGCATTGCACACTCGCCTCGGCCCCTGTGATGGACCACCCTTTCCCCAAGGCTGCTTTGCAGAGGAGGCCCACCATGGCAGGGGGTCGGACTTGATCTGCTCGGGTCCCTTCCGACCCTACCAGCTATGAAACTATGCGGAGTTAGATTGTCCCCGGAGCAGGCAGGCATGCTCCTCCATCTTGCCGACACATGGGCTCGCTGATGAGAAGCCTATGCAGCTGTTCAGTGATTCAGCCAGGCTGAATGCCCTCGTGTCCAGAGTCCAGTGGCTTGAGCTAATATCTCATGAATGCTTCTTTTCTCTGCCGCTGTGGGAGGTGGCAGGGCTTGGTAAATAACCTTTCATTACGAAACGAAACCTGTGATTCTTTCCATAGAGCACTGGGGTGGCTTGTCATTCTGCCATTGTCTTTGGCCTGGGGACAGCGCCTCGCTGCCATCTGAGCTCCGTACACCAGAGATTCCCCCTCCTGTTTCTAGGATGCCAGCCCTACCCTGCTGTGACCAGCATGAGTGGCATCAGACCGTGCGTCACGAGCAGAGAGAAGGAGATGCTCGGACTCCTGGGCAGGGCACCGACCGAGTCAGCCAGAGGATCGGGGCCTGTGCACGCCAAGCTAGTTGTATGTACAGATGTAAACCACACCTATGTTTTAAGTGTGGTCCAGTGGACAGCTGTGTTTTTTCTACTTGGTACACCTGGGGCATACATTTTCAATGCATCAGATGTTTAAGCAACAGTGCAAAAGGAGAAGAGGAAGAGAAAAGCTGGGCTTGTGTGTAAGAAGGTAGACTGGAGACTTGGGAATGGGAGTTTGGTTCCTGGCTCTGCCAAAGAGTCCATCAGTTCTTTTGGCCTGTGACTTATAGTCTGATTTCTCCGTGCGCTTAAGCCTGTGTTTAGGCAAAGCAGGTTTTGATCCAATCACAGACGAAGCTTCTTAATTGTCAGAACAGCAGGACAGTGGAAGGAGCTGCCCGGGGAAAGTGTGGCCTCTCCTTCATCAGAGGTTTGCATGCAGAGGCTGGATAAGCCTCTCCGTGGAATGGCTTAGGAGTAGCAAGACGGGTGTCTGTGCTGGGAGTGGGACAAGATGAACCCAAAGGTCCTTTCCAACTCTGTTCTCAGGAGCTTGACATTAAATGTACGTTCCTACGCCTTGCTGCGTCAGCATGACTGGCTGAATTCAGGCTTTGATTTCTCATCTCCAGAATAGGGAGAATGCTTTTTGTCCTGGCTGTGCAGGTCGCAAACAAGACTAGGACTGTGGTCTGCACATGTATTGCACAGAGCATAATGGCCTGGGGTCTCCTGGTGCTACAGAAATGCAAATAATACTCAGTAAAGTCTCTGTCCTTAGCAAATCGGCCTTCCAACTGAGCCATCTTTGGCTCCAGGACTGTGTGCATGTGCAAAGTAAGAGAAAAGTGACTCTTTCTTTCTGTTGCAATGCGGGGATGGAGGGAATCTGCCTGAATTTTGGAAAACTTTAAATGGAGACCCTGGAAAGTTTCAAGCCAGAAAGGGAGCATGGTGGGAAGCTAGGAGCATGTGAAAACAGCGGTTACAATGAACTGTTTTACAGCCTTCATTATAGCAGGTGCTGTTGCTGGACTGCTATAAAAGAAAGTTTCCGCTGAATGCTTCACTTCCTGCGGTCTATGGAAACTACGTGAGGGTAGGAGGAACCTGCTTTCAATCCCTGGGATTGGGGCTGTGGGTCTCTTGGAAGGCAGATTTCTCTAGGTTTGGGTTGGCTGTAATAGCACACACGGGAGCAAGGGTTTGTCGTGGGTCCAGGCCTTCTAGGTCTCTAAGCAAACCCCCTGAGACGTCGCGCCTCAGGCCTTTCCTTCTTCCCTGTGCTGGAGCTGTGCGGTTCTCCCTCCTAGACCAAGTCCTAGGCTGAAGCATCATCCTAGGTATCAACCATGCCTGCCCAGCAGGTCTGATTTGAATATGAACTTGTGCTCTTCTTTCCTGTGGCAGCCTGTGACCAGGGTTATTCAGTCATCTGAGAGCCTTCTTAAAGTACTGTCCTGTTTTCTGCAAGAGGAGCAAAGATTAGCCTACAGGCTTATCGTAGATAAAAGCTTATCATCCCCTAATAACCTAAATGTCCAACCTCCTCCAGAAACCCCAGGAGGGTCCTATGGTCTCAGCTGGGCTCATGCAATCAGCTGCTCCCCACCTTTTTGAACCCAGCTATGATTCGTTTTCTTCAACCTGCCGTTGTCTCTTAACAGCCCTCTAGTGTTTGTGCAGAAGTGTCTTATCCTCAGCCATTCTTTCCTTTCCTTTTCCCAAGGGTGTTTTATTCAACTAAAGCAGTATTGTTGGGTGGCCAATGTCCCTGTAATTGGCTTAACATACAGGATTCCTCGGCTATTGCGGAGCAGTTCCAAATCCACCCTTTGAGCGAGAGTTTCCCAACACGGGAAATCTGGATAGAACTGGTTGAATTACTCGTGATGAAGAACAGGCTCGTTTCTTCACACGTTACCCATTTCATACGGGCAGAAAATGGCGTAAAACGTCAGTTTTCTGCTTTCTCTTCTACCCACTTTGCATCAATATCCGTTTCTCCGTGATGAACAGGGTGAGGGGCCCTTAACCCTAACCCTAACCCTGGCACTCTTGTTCATGTTCTCGCTTTTCAGTCCATTTCCCTGTCCTGACTTCTGCAAACAAGTTGTTTATCCATCCAGATTCATCAAACTGCCAACAATTTTCTGCCTATCTGTTTTTTGCATGCCGTGAATGCCTGAAGCAGGGGTTGCTGAGAGACTGTGATATCTGTGGTGGTATACTTTGGTGTCTGTACCACAATACTGCAGTGGTATTGCTGTTCCCTAACTGGATGGCTGAAACTTTCTAAACTTGCAGATGCCATGTGATAGTTGACAGTAGCTCGGGTGCGTGTTCCTGGCTTGGACGTTCACTTGTGTGACAACATGCAAAGCTAGAGGCAAGGCGCATGCTTTCACAAATAGACGTGGAGTTGTATCTGGGCCACTACTGGCTTACAGCCAAGCAAACCCAGCAAGGTTTTTAATATCTTCAAATCCATCGGCTCTCCTTGTGGGTCCCAGAACCTGTGGCGTGCAGCTGTACGGTCCATGAGCACCATCAAAAATGCTGTTGCTTGGCTGTAAGAGCAATTATTGAGAAAATAAAGGAGCTGCTTTTTTACCTGCTGACCACACATGCAAGGGTCTAACTTGGCCGTCCAAAACTGTTCACTTGAGCTCTTGTGTGTTTTTGACAGGTGAGTAAAATACCACCTGCTAACTTTTCTTTCCTACAGTTGGAGTGATTGAGTAGAATTGGAGCCTAATTCTGTAGTCCAGCAAGTTGCTTCGACCAGGGCAGCTTTGATGCGAGATGCTCTTTGTTGGGGCTGGTCATTGGTTGTGTTGAATTTCTGATGCCAGGCCAGTGACACGGGAACTAAAGGAATATTTTCCTCCCATTTTGGAGAATATTGATGAGATTGTGCATCAAGGAAAAAGCAGGGTGACTAGAGGGAATGGGGACTATGGATGTTTTGAAATGGGAGCAAAAATCCAAAGGGTTTAATTCTGAGGATTGGGATACACTCGTCCCAGAACTCCAAAAGGACCGTGTGAGACGGTTGTTTTTAATAAAAACTGCTTGTTCGCAAGTCAGAGGTAATATAAAATGACTGGAGTATAGCAAGCTTAATACCTATATTGAAGAAAGGGTCAGAAGTGATCCTGGCAACTCCTTAATAGCATGCAAGGCTTTAGAACACATTTTTGAAGGCAAGAGAAAATGTACTAGAGGTCACTGGAAAATGGGACAAAGCACAAGGTTTATCAGTGTTCGATGGCACCAGACTAACCTGATATCTGTCTTGTTAAAGGAAATAAGAGACCTTGTCCACTAAGGCATAGGATATCGTGCCACATGGAGAAGCTGTTGGTTAAGATGGGATTAGTACAAAATTGTGGAATGAGTAAAGAGGAAACAGATTGAGTTGGAAAGAAACCTGTTGGCTTCAGGTGGGTATTAGTAGAGTTGCTCAAGGATCAGTCTCGGGACTGACTTATTTTTCACTGTGTTTTTGACAGAGTAGGTAACTTGCTGGCAGCCCTAAGTTGGGAGGCATCCTCAGCACAGAGAGGATCAGACTGTTTTCCAGGAGTAGATGGAGGATGTTGAGGACGGGAGTAATAGAAAAGGAATGAAATGCAATCGGGTGACATGCAAGTTCAGGCATTCGAGGACAAACAACAACAATAATTTCTGCTGTAAGCTGGGAGCTCATCAGCTGGAAAGGCAGAGGTGCAGAAAGGTCTTGGAGTATTAGTCAATCGACTGAGTCACCGACATGATGTGGTTGGGGAAAAAGGCAAATGGGATCCCAGGATGTATCCGATGAGGTATTTCCATGAGAGAAGGGCACAAGGCACAGGCAGGCCCTTGTCTGGGATGTTGTGTACACTTCTGGTCCCTTGCATTCAAGGACGATGACTTCCTAACTGGATCCAGTGCAGAGAAGGGCCGCTAGACTGATCGAGGGGATGGAGAGCCTCTCTACCAGCGGAGACTGAAAGACCTGGGCTGCTTTAGCCTAGCACGTCCTCCATGAGTGTGAATGCCAGTGGGGGAGAAGAGTTATTTAAGCTGAAGGACCATGTCGGCCAAAGAGTAAATGGAAAGAAAATGCCAAGAAATGTAAATTGGAAATAGTTTCTAATTGTGGGACTGGGAAGGTCTTGGAGGAGCCTTCCAATAGCAGCACTTGGGTTTAAAGGAAAAAGTCTAATTAGGTTTTTTAAGATGAGCTTGACCAGCTTTATGTAAAGGGTTTGTGATGCGGTGCCTGTAATCGCAGAGCACTTGACCCGGGAGATTCCTTGTCAGTCGAATGACGGCACAAGGAACTCCCTGAGCAATAGGTAACCCTGTGGAAATGAACTCGAGAGGATTTTCTTCTAATACTGATCCAGCTTCAGGATCTGAGGACTTTAGCGCTGTAAGTTAGAGAGAGAACTTTTTTTTGCCAAAAAAATGCAGATATGGGTTGTCAAAACCAGCTGGCAGACGCATGTCCAAGTTGCTGAATTGTTTCAGTCCAACAAAATGAAACACAATAAAATCAAAATTCTTTCAACACATCTCTTAAAAGGAAACATTTCAGCTTATCAACTCAGAGTGTCTTATGGGAAAATGTACTTAAGGCTGTGTGTTTGCTAAACTTTAGAAACACCTTGGAAATGGCCAAAATTTCAGTTTGGAATGAAAATGTTGACTTCCTAGTACATCAGGCAAACCAAAAGTCTTATTATTAGCACATATCTACTTTACACGTATTAAATTCCCCTTGTGTTTAAATTACCATGAGACATCAACAGCTGTTATGTGTTGTGCACACGTAACTCGTCCTGTGCGTTCATGTAATTTGCTTCCCCGCGTGCGTTCACAGGAGAATCCGTCTTCTCTGGCAGGTCTCGGGGTTAAAACCTGCCAGTCAGAACTAGCACTTCATCTGCCATGCCAAAATGTTACCAGATCCTCTCTCAAAGAGCTGTATAAGCTCTCTAGTTTCCCCCGGGCCAGCCTCCATCTATCACAGGAGAGTTTCTGTCCATATATTGCTCACGCCTGTTGGGAGCCAGTGCCAGTGCCAAGGTGCAGTGGGCCCCCTTTGCAGCTGATCCAGCAGTTTTGCAAGCGACTGCAGCAGAGGTGAGCCAACCTGCCAGGGCTTGGGATGTGCACCTCTCCCGTGTCAGGTCCCCCTCGGCAGGAGGCTCTCCGGGGCGATTCAAGCACTTCACTCTTGCCTTGCGTTCCACAGGTTGCCACGACAAGGCAGTGCTGCTCTATGAGTACGTGGGGAAGAGGATAGTGGACTTGCAACACACGGAGGTCCCTGATGCTTACCGAGGAAGAGGAATAGCCAAACACCTGGCCAAGGTACAGCTCGGCCAATGTCTGGAGATGCTTCCTTAACCCGCAGACTAACACTTCTGTACAGCAGTGGTAAGAGGAACTGACTGGAGTGGGGCTCTGCTGCACTCCCCTGGTGTGTGCGCACAGTCCCTGATTCGGAGAGCTCGGGTGAGACTAGGTGGACAGAGGATGGGGAAGAAATAGGAGCACGGAAAGGTGAAGTGAGTTACCAAAGACCAGGGAGCAGGTCAGTGGCAGAGATAGGAACAGAATCCATGGCTCCCCCAGCCTAACGCCGTGGCCTACCCCATGTACGAGTCAGCCTCTCTAAAAACCAGCTAAGATCTAGCCGAGGGCAGGAGGGAGGCTTCTGCAGAGGGCTTAGAAGTGACAAAAATGACCCAGATTGACCCACAGACTGCAACAAAGCTAGTTTTGAGGGAAAAGGTGGGGGAAAATGTTTTTTCCCCCCAAATCTGGACATCTCTCCTCACAAAAACCCACTCATCTTGGACATTTGATGTCAATGGGGGGCTCCTTCCAAAGCGTGTTGCAAGACCTGACATTCCTGAGCTACACACCAGCCTGGAAGGTAACTGCAAGTGTTGCTGTGCCCCCCGCTTCTCCCCACAAGAAGCCTTGTGCACGAAGCCCTCTCCCACTGTCCCTTCCAGCACAGGTGAGTGAACAGTGTGAGAGCAAGCAGGGCCACACAACAGGAGCAGGAAAAGAGAATAGCTGTTGGGCCTGTGGGTGGGTGGCATACAAGGTCCCCAGAAACAGCTGCTGAATGGAGGCCGCAAAGCCAGCAGGGCCGTTTCATCCAGCAGGATCAGGAGAAGGCATCGAGGCACCGGAGCATTCGGAGCCAGGGGGACCATATGGCCAATTACAGCCTGCTCTAATAAATCCTGAGAAGTAGCCACGTTCCTCCCACTGCCCTTTCCCAGTGACTGTGTCCAGCTGCCTGCACGTTTGGTGCAGTGACTAACTTATGGCCATCTGCTATTTCATGTCTCCCATCCTCCAGTGGCATTCTGCCACCGGACCAGCGCTTGTCCGCATCCTTCCTCCTCAAGCCAGTCCTCTGCACTGCCCTGTCCTTCACCTGTTCTCCGTAGGGAATGTCCCTGTTCCTCTTCCCATGTCAGAGGCTGAATCTGCCTCATTGTTTACTAACTCTCTCATGCCTGGATGAATACACTGCGCTGTCCTCTCTGGATGACTCTTGGTCTCCATCCTCCAAGATGGAGATCGGAGCTGTGTGCTATGGCGTGATTGTGCCCTGGCTCAGGTCCTCTCCAGTGAGACAATCGCTTCCCTTGACTTTATTTTCCATCTCTCAGCTCAGACCCCTCCAGACCTTTTCCGTCTGGTGTGCTGCTGGCAGCGTTAAGACAGGCTGGGGCAGGGTAGAAGTATGTTGCTCATCGCCAAACCTGTTTTCGTCCTCCTTCTTTCCTTCTGGCTCTGCCATCTCCCAAATATCCTTGTTTCTTGTCCTCTGCTGAGGAGTGGCTCTGTATAATAGAAGAGATCCAAAGCCTTCTCCCTCTGCTCCTGGTAGCCCTCCCTGGGCGGCATGCACCTTCTTTTCCAGGAAGTCAGTGGGGCAGTGAAATGACCCCTTCTTACAGAGGTGACTTTCTGTGGGAGTACAACCAAAGCAGCCAAATCTGTCCCTGCCACTTCCTGGTTAATCTCCATTGCCTGCTCCAGAGCTTGCGTGTTTAGTGCAGCTCAGTGCTTCTCCTCGGTGGTATCCAGGAAGAAATCTAACAAATTGGACAGCTGTTGTTGGAAAGAGCTTGCAGCTGGGAAGATTCCCTTGGGAGGGAGAGGGCCTAGGAAATCCCCAGTTGAGCACATGAGTGATTCTTAATTAAACGCTTTTCTGGTGGGGCAGGGGGAAGGCGTGGGTTTCCAAGCAGGGCTGGAGTCTGTGCTGTGTTAGGGGTGCTGCTCTTCTGCCATCCCATGCAGTGATGTACCAGAGAGCACGCTCCACTCTGCCTGGGGTCTTTCTGCAGCATCCTAGCCCACATGTCTATCCTTGATGTCTTCGGCACCATCAGTGTCTCTGCTGCTCGATTGCGGGGGGAGGTGAGATCTGGGGTGATAGTGCCAGGGGGACCTGGCATTCTCTGGGCCCAGCAGGGAAGCTTGAGGTGGGGGGACTTCTTCTTTCCCCAGCATTTCATGGAGTCTAAAGTCCTGCTTTTTGCTAAAGGAAAAGCTTAGTTCAGGGGACTCCTCCCCTGCCCCAAGGTCCAGTCAAATGGAGCTGTGGCATACTGCCCTCTGCTCCTCCCCTCCCCACCCCATCCTTCCTGAGCTGCCACAACCTCCTCCCAGCTCCCGCCACCTCTGTGCCCTGGGTTCCTCTGGTCTTCGTCCCAGTTGGCATCTCTGGCTTCCTTGTTGGCCGATCTCCAAGTGGAGACCAATTTATTTGCATGTGGTCTCTGGACACCTCACTGGTTCCTCCCCGGCCTCCAAGCTGTCTGCCTGCATTTGCTCAGCCAGCTCATAGATGGGAATGGGGCAGTTGCATCTTACAGTGATGACCTCAGAGATACCTCCACCCCCAGGCCTTGAACATACTGGTCCTCGACCTTTCTGGGATTACCTGCTCCTCGTCTCCAAGCCAGGCTTCACCTTTACTGGAGCAGGCTTTCTTCTCTTTAAGACTCCTCCCTCCTCAGGCCCTTATGGATTTGTGTTTGTGAGTGGGTCTTCTCTTCAAAGGCTTCAAGCAACCTGCTGGGCATCTTCTGCTGAACTCCTATTTATACACTTCACTGGTGCTCCACCCTTGACCTTCATTTCTTATTCTATCTCTGTACCCTAGTCTGTCTGCCCCCAGGTGTTCTCCATGGCACCTGCCAGTTCCCCTCTCCAGGTGAGATTCAGACGTGTGCACACATCTGCCTTCTTGCGTCCTGTCATTCCCACCTTCCCAGCCCAACAGTCTCTGCTTCTCCCCTGCCTGCTATGTTGGTTCATATTTTATGCGGCCAGTTTGCAGGTCACCTGTTGCAGGATTGATTGCGGCTTTGAGACGTTAGGCATAAGCAATGCTTTTAGCAGTCCCACCAGCACCATCTACTGCTCGAGGAACACCACTGGCCCCACTTTTCCAGCACTGCATCCAGGCCTTGACTCACCTTTCCTGCAGGCAGCGTGCCAGTGCTGCGGTGTCCCGGGCAGCACAGTAATCCCTAGAAATTCTGTTCCTGGCTCTTCTTGCCTTGTCAGATCTGTCAGCCCACAGCGCAGGGCAGGATTAAGTTGCTCCTCCATATAATAGGGGCCGCTGCTTCGGGCATGCTTGCACAATGCCTGGAGTCTCTAGGGTACTGCTCAGGAGCTGGGCTGTGGATGACAGCGAGTCCTGCCTCAAAGCATTTGTAATCTGAAGGTACTGGTGAAAACAGACCTTTGGCAGGAGTGCGGCTGTTGGAGTCCATGCACCCTGTGACAAAGGTGGGCTGCAACTGTTCCAGCTCACACTGGAATCAGGCACTTGGACCTCTGATATCTCCTGCCTGGCAGCCCTTCCTTAGCCCAGCCGTGCTGTGAGCCTGGGGGGAGGCAGCTAGTCCTGCTACAAATTCAGGCTGTCACCACCAGCAGCTCTCCTTTTGTATGCAAGTGTCTCCACTTGCTGTTCTGGATCACGTGCCCTTCCATTGCTGGCTCCCTGCACCATCCACTCCTCTGCCATGCCTCCAGCCTGGGTGCATGATGGGAGAAGCCTGCTTGCAGGGCATCGTCCTATTTCCTACTGTGTGTATGTGTCCCCTCCCCACAGACCACGCTCATTCTTGCCCCCCCCCCCCCCCCCCCCCCCGCCCCACCCC